GAGCCCGGATTTTCCTGGTGTTCCCTCACCCATGCTGCAGCCACAGGGAAAGCCAGCCTTGTTATTCCCACTAATTAAACTGGGAAAACAATATGGAATGAAAAACAGAGCCTCAACAAAGGGAGAGAGGCAGTGGGCCCAGCACAAAGGAGCTGGTGGCACACGCTGCTTCCAGGTGGGAATGGGGCAGGTGCAGGGATGGGGGATCCGGGATTTGGGATCAGGGATCCAGGCACAGAGTGGTGCCAGAGAAATATCCATGTTCTGTTATCTGAGGAAAAGCTGGAGGAGATGCCTCAGGAATACCACACAGCACTGGAGTATTTTCTGCCACCTCAATAATTAGCAAAACCTTAAACGCAGCTCTGGGATATTTCGCTTTCCTGCTGTCCGCACTGGGCTTTGCACCCATCCACACTCTTTTCCCTTTCCAGAAACTTTTCCCAGCTGGATCCGAGGACACAAGACATTTACCTGGGAGCTCAGCAGCTGGAAACATCCCCTTTCCCAGGCAGGATGAAAGCTGGCTTGTCCCCTCTCCACCACCCAAGCCCCAGGGGAAAACACATCCATCCAGCAAGCGGGAATTCCAGGCAAGGGTGTGCTAGCCTAAAATATTTATTGGGGGGGGGGGGGTTTATCCCAAAAAAAGCTCCACTAGGAAAACCTACAACCACAAGGATAAACACTACACCATGACGGTTACCATCATGCAAAGAGGGGCAGGGAACCCTACGGGCGGACAGGGAGGTGACACCCCCTAAACCTCAACTTAGGGTAGACCAGCCACAGGGTCTCCAACCATTCTTGGTGGGCATTCCTGATGGGCATTCCTGATGGGCATTCCTGCCGGGCATCCCAGCGCGCAGTTCCTCGCTCAAGGCTCGATTTCCCCGGGCAAGGGAGAGGCGGCGGCCGCAGGAGCGGCGGAGTCCCTGCGCCTGCCGGGTTAATTTCTTGCCTCGCCTGTGAACAGCCCATTCAGCGCCACTTCAAGCTCCTAATTCCGGGGTTTACGTGGAAATGGTTTTAGAGTGCGCTGGAAACCCCGGGTTCCTGTTCCAATCTCGCGACGCCTTTAGAAAGCAATTCCTTAAGCCTCCGTTTGCGAGACCCTTTTAATCTCTGCAAATTATTGGTGAGAGCTGAATCAAGGCAAACTGCCACCGCAGCGCTGCCACCGCGCAGGGAGAGGCCACCGCTGATTATTTAGAGGAAACCATCGCTTTCGGGCCGAGAAATAAATTAGCATTTATACTGGATTATTGAAAAACGCCTCCCCCCCAAAAATCAGCCTCCATCTCCGTGTCAATTGTGGCTCACCGAGGTCAACACCTCCGCTGTGACAGGCACGGGCTCGCACAGCAAAGGACAACTTACGTGTGGAAATGAGCCCCGAATGTGTCATTATTATCCGGGAGACAAGCCGGGCTGGGAAATAACATCTGCACTCCTGGAAATAACATCTGCACAGCCCGGGATCCGGGCGACCTTCGGCGGAATGGGGGTAATCAGGGAGCGGGGAAAATCAACCCCAAATGTTTTCTTTGTTTTGGGTTTTTTTTTTTTAAGTTCTGGTTTTATTTTCTTTGTTTTGTTGGGTTTCTTTTTGTTTGTTTGGGGGGTTTTTTTGTTTTTTTTTTGTTTTTTTTTTTTTTTTTTGGGTTTTTTTTCTTTTTTTTTTTTTTTTTTTTTTTTTTTGGTTTTTTTGGTTTTTTTTTTTTTTTTTGGGGGTTTTTTTTTTTTTTTTTTTGTTTTTTTGTTTTTTTTTTTTTAAATTTTGGTTTTAAACTACTTCACTTGGAATCTGCAGCTTGATCCTCCCAGGGTAGGGAAGGAAGAAGTCCTGTTTTGTGTGGAACCTCCAGGTGATGGAGGGTTAGGTTAGAAAAACACATTCTATAAGCGAGAAAGATTTAAGATTAGGGTTTGGTTTTTTTTTTGTTTTTTTTTTGTTTTTTTCATGAGTCATTTGCCACATCAAAGCAGATTTAAGGTTAGGGTTTTGTTTTTTTTTTTTTTTTTTTTTTGTTTTTTTCATGAGTCATCATCCATCCAAAAGGGTTTTCTTTACACCCACCACCGAAATGATGCGATGCTTTTTATCCCAAACATCACGTTACTGATGTGGGGAAGATTCTGGGGTGTTTTCAGTGCAAAATGGCCACGAGGCGTTTTGCTGGCTGCGTTTCTACCAGCTCCCCCTGCGCTGTGCTTCTCCCTGGGCTCCCTCAGGGGATGCAGCGGTGCCTCTGCCCCCAGGACAAGGGTCGGGGGTGTCCCGGTGGGCAGGGGATGGCTCAGCCCCCGCTGTGCCCCAGGGACCACCAGGGAAGCTGCACATGGCTCCTCATCCCAGCTCCAGCAGCAGATCTGGGCGCAGCCGTGGTGTTCAGGATCCCTTTTCCCCCAGCTCCCCCTTCCTGGGCTGCTGTCCCGGGACACCCTGGCTGGATTTCTCTCCCTGTGCCCAGGTGCCCAGCCCAGGGTCCTGCTGCGTGAGCAGAGGCTGTGAGCAGGGGCTGGTACCACCCCTGGCACCTGACTCCCTACAAACCACCTCGCTTGTGCCACATCCCAAAATCCCAGCTTACAGTCTGACACAAACAGGACCAGTCCCTCTCAGCCCTTCACCTTATTCTGCCTGGTTTGTCCCCAAAGCAGCACTGAGGCCTCCGTGAGATCCCAGTGGCTTTTTTATTTTACTTTATTTTACTTTTTCATTTAATTTAATTTTATTTTATTTTGGCACCTGCAGTTTTCCATCCCTACTGGAGCAGGTCCCCTCCTTTCTGGGGCTCACACTCAGCACATCCCTATAGCACCGGGAGCAGCCTCTCCCTTCCCAGAGGGAAGCAGGGACACCACGCTGTGCCTCTCATCCATCCATCCATCCATCCATCCATCCATCCATCCATCCATCCATCCACCCATCCATCCATCCATCCATCCCCAGGGCAGGGCTCCTGCTTTGCCAAGCTGCTCCCTGCCCCAACAGCACACGGGCACCTCTGAATCCAGGGAGGAGGGAGGTTTCAGCAGCTCCTTCCTGGAGTGCAAGCCCCAGAAAGGAGGGGACCTGCTCCAGTAGGAATGGAAAACTACAGGTGTCAAAATAAAATAAAATAAAATGAAATAAAATGAAAAAGTAGAATAAAGTAAAATATAAAAAAGTAAAGTAAAATAAAGTAAAATATAAAAGTAAAGTAAAAGTAAAATAAAAAAGTAAAGTAAAAGAAAAAAGTAAAGTAAAAAAGTAAAATTTAAAAAGTAAAATAAAATAAAATTAAATTAAATAGTACAATTCTTAAAAAGTAAATTAAAAATAAAATAAAATTTAAAAGTAAAATAAAAATAAAATAAAATAAATAAAATAAAATAATGATCAGCCTTTGGAGGAAGACTCTGATGAAGGAAGAGCTGGGCTCAGACACGGTTCAGCAGTTGACTGGTACCACTGGTGACACTGGTGGGCACCAGGGGCTGTGCTGGGGGCCTGACCCCAGGGATACAGCTGTGTCCCACCCTGGGTTACCCCAGGGGCAGCAGTGTCCCCACCCGTGGGGCAGCCCCTGCGCTGCTCCCACAAGGATGTAGAGAGGATTTTGCGTTCTCTCTTTTTCTTTTTTTTCTTTTCTTTTTTTTTTTTTTTTTTTTTGAGCAGGGGTGGGGAAGAGAGGCGCAGGGGAAAAAAAAGGATGGAGGGGCCAGGAATTCTGCCCGAATATGGGAAGATTGCAACTGAACAGAACTGTCGGGAAGGCGGGATTTGGACGGCAGTGCGTGGAGATTCGGGACCCGTTTAACTCCTGACCCTCGCCGGGCTCTCAGAGTTTCAGCGCGGAGCACAAAGTTCAAAACGCAAAACTGCGCTCGCCCCGATCTTTTATCTTTTATTTTTAACAACCACCACATAGCTGCAGGTGCCTTGCCTCCAAAAAGATCAGGGAAAAGACGGGGTTTGCGAGGGGACGGGTCCAGTCTGGAGGGTGTGGGATACCCCTGGCTCCCCAAATCGGGCTCAGTCCCCGCAGAGGTGAATCCTACAAACACCGGCAGCGCCTCGGCGCCGCTCTGGAGGGAGGCTGCTCCCTGATCGCACCGAGTTTTATCCATTCCTGGGCGAGGCGCACCCCGCGGGTCCCCGCGCACGGCCGGGCGCGCACCCAGCGCATCTCCCCGCGCTCAGGCTCGCCCGCCCCGTCGCGGCGGTGCCGGCCCGGGGCAGCGGGGCACAGCTTCGGCCGCGGGGGCTGGCTGCTCCCCGGCAGTTCAACCCGGCCGAGACCCCGCTCAGCCCCGCGGAGCTGCCCCGACGGGCGCGGGGTGCCGGAGCAGGAACCCCGCAGCCGCTTCCCGGGGCGGGGGAGCGAGTCCCGCAGCCGCCTCCCCGCCCGCGGGCTCGGGCTGCCCCGGGGGAGCCTTTCGTCGCGCCAAAACCAACGAGCAAACGAAGAACGACCGAAAAAAACCCCGAAAACGCAACAGCAAACGAAGCATCGGCCCTAAAGGGGGCCCGGTGTCGCGGGGGTCCCCGCTGGCCTCGCACCCCGCGGCAGCGGCTCCGAGGGGCCGGAGCCGGGGCCGGGCGGGAGCCGTGCAGCGCCGGGGCCCGGCCGGGACAGGGGACAGGGGACAGCGCTGCCCCGCTCCTGCCGTCGGGGCCGGGCGGGAGCCGCGCCGCCCCGGGACGCTCTGCCCGGGGGTGGCCGCGCACCGTGGACAGGGGATCGGGGGAACGGGCGTGTACTTACGGGCGAGGGCGGCGGGGCCGGGGCCGCTCGGAGCCGCTCCGGCGCTGCCCCGGCGTGGCCGGGCTTAAGAGCCGTCGGGCGGGCGCAGGACAATGGCCGGGAGGAGGGGGCCGGGGCCGGGGGCCGGCGGGAGGCGG